GCATGGTTAAAATTGAAATCTCAAAAATCCCAGTTTAGGATTATTCCCAGGCAAATGAGATCCTTGTCATGATCTATTCAAATCTAAGTATTGCAATACATTCCAATTCAGTGCATAGTTACCATTCTCTAATTTGAAATAAAATAAAATTAGTAAGTTACTGAACACTTTGAAAATGGTGATTCTTTGAAAGAACTGAGAAACATGCTTGTTATAGTTCACTACTTCAGAAAGTAAAATATGTGGCAAGAAGCCAAACTGGATATCAGGAGAGAATAGTTCTGTTGTGTCTTGTAACTAAATAAATGATCATGGGTAATGATTTATCTTCTGCCTTGGTTTCCTAATCTATAAAATGGAGTTAAGTCTAGGCCATCAACACTCTCCACCTGCATATAGCATGTAAGGATGATATGTGATAACAGAGGGGAAACTGTACTTAAAACTCAATGTTCCACACCAGTGTTTCCCCACATGGTGCATGCCCTACTAGTACTACATCATGTGATTTTAGGTAATAAGTGAAAACATGTGTACAAGTTATTATATTGCCTCTCAGCTTCAAATCCACTCTTCTTTGCCTTGATTTATTATCTCAGCTAAAAAAAAAGTAAATATTTCTCTTTACTTCAAGTGGAGGAATTTGGGGCTTTGTCGATAGAGGGTGCTGGAGGGATGTGGGAAAGCATAGCAGAGCTAAGGGCTTTTCTCTCTAATTCCTGTGTACATTTTTCTTCCTCTTGTGGCTGCCAGTGGTGTGCAGGATGCCCAGCGGAACTCACTCTTCAATAAGTTTCTTAGGCTGCTTTTTTTGGACTAGCTTCAGTTCGCTGACACCTCAATTGGTGACTTCCTCGGAATAAGCTATGCCCTAAGTCATGCCAATAAAAATCCTTTCCATTTTCCAGAGAGCTGTATCCAGCATCAGAATCTCAGCAGTGGGGGGAAGGACTCGCCCACTTGCCCTTGTTCTCTCCTCAATTACCTCCCTTATCCCTGTAGGCAGTAGCTTCTCCCTATTGTGTTGTCTTTATTTCTTAAAATGCTTTTTTATCTCTTTTAGTAATTAACAAGTTTTACCAGTTAAGGCTGCTTTATAATAATTTATTTCCTGCTCAAATAACTAGTGTGATTTCTATCTTCTGACTGGGCCTTGATTAACACAGAATTATTTAATATTTTGATTATTAATGTATGTATACTATGAAATTGTGATTAGACTCAAATTATTTTTTCATGATGGAAATATAAAGTTTGTACCTTACAACAACTTGCTTTTTATTATACTTAGTTTTTATGATCTCATTTTTATTTCATATATAAAATAGAGAATAGATTAACTTTTCAGGGTTGTTGTAAGGATAAAGTGAGATTATGTACATAAATCTACACTTAGTACATTCTATAATAAATTGCCCAAGATAAGATACCTAGTAAGTGATAGATCTGGGACTCAAACCATAATCTGGATACAATTTCTGTGGATGTTGTTTATAATAGTCAAATACTAAGAATGAGCTGCATATTCCATTATAGCAGGGAAGAGGTTAAATTGCTGTTCACCAAAATAATGTAATAATAATTAGTGAAAATAAAGAATGAGTTATAAGTGTATATTGACCTTAAAATATAAACATTGTGGATTAAAAAAATAAAAACAAAGAAGTTCCAGAGCTATGAACATTGAAAGATCCTAGTTTTGTAAAACAAAATAATGCAAATGCATATACATGTACATTTAATTATGTTTATAAAAGTGTGAGAAAAACAAGAAGGCTGCACATCTAATTCTTGGAGTTGTGATTTTGAAGTGGAAGAATGGAACTTCCTTTTATTAAAATATATAATTTTACATAGTCTATAGGTGACTTTAACTTTCTTTTTAATTTTGTGCAGTAATTTTTGAGTAAATTTTGAAGTACATTGTGTTCTTACAACTGTGTCTATCATGTACTTTGCATAATTCTGCAGTAATATGAAACTTATCAGATGCTTTCTCTAAAGGCAGCAGTTGTAAAGATCTCAAGAAATTACTCCTTAAGAGCAATATCATCAGAATGCCCAGAATGGCATGTGATTCCTCCCCAAACTCTCCATGTCAAGAGTACTCTGCGCATTCCCTGTTAATCTGGATGACTGAGCTTCTCACCATATGCTTATTGGCTAAGAATATAAGTTTGACATATAGACTCTCCTCTCAAAGTATGGATATTCCCTATTAATTTCTTTACGATGAAGATCTCAGCTAGATTCATAAAAGTTGCAGATTCTGAACATGAAAAGGGAAAAGAATGGCGTGGTGTTTTAATCACCTTCTGTTTACTCCATTGGCAAGGAAGGGATTCCCTACCTAGGGATACACAGATGACTGGACACATGACACCCAACACTGGACAGATGAAATCATTAGCTTATTAGTTACATGCACTCACAGCCTACAGGCAAATGATGCTGCATGCCATGCAGAGCCACATGAAGGTTGCACAAGGGAACAGAGTGAACAACCAGGAGCTATGGGAGACAGGCTTTGTAGTGTCAAAAGGATGAGGTGCTGTCTAGTTTTTGTAGGAAGGATGTAATTAATTGCCTTATTTGAATAATTCCATGGGCTGGCAAAAGAAAATTTATTACTCTGGGACTGCACTTGATCCTTTGGAAATAGGATTGTTTGGCGAGGGGACCTTATCTATAGAAGCAGAGTGGGCAGGGGAACTTGTGGTTAGGCCATTGGAGTCCCTTGTGATTTCACCAAATGTCAAAGCAACACATGATAATGCAAGAATGATACCTCATATCTACTAAAAATAGAAAAATTAGCCAGGTGTGCTGGTGCATGGCTGTAGTCCCAGCTACTCAGGAGGCTAAGGCAGGAGGATAGCTTGAACCCAGGAGTTTGAGGTTGCAGTGAGCTACAACAATGGCACTGTGCTCAACCCAGGGCAACAGAGACTCTGCTCAAAAAAAAAAAAGAGAGAAAAAGAAAGTGGACCTAATTTTAGGCCTTACATCATGCATGGATGAGGGTTATACCACAATTTAAATGACTTGAACTTAAACAAGTCAGACTTAGAATACTGAATACTAAATCCAGTACAATAGTCCTCCTCTTGCCTTATCTGTGGCTTCTCTTCCATGGCTCTGGTTACTGATGGTACAAATATTAAAGGTTGAATTCCAGAAGTAAACAATTCATTCATAAGTTTTAAATTGGGTGCTGTTCTGAGTAGTGTGATAAAATCTTGCATGGTCCCTCTCCATTCTGCCTAGGATATGAATCATCTCTCTGTCCAGTGCATTCATGCTGTAGATATCCCCTACCCACTGGTCACCTCAAAGCTATCTCCATATAGCAGTGCTGTGTTCGTGTAGCCCTTATCTTACTTAATAATGGCCCCATAGTGCAAGAGTAGTGATGCTGGCATATTGCTATAATTATTCTATTTCATTATTAGTTATTGCTGTTAATCTCTTACTGTGCCTTATTTATAAATTAAAATTTATCATAGATATGTTTGCATAGGAAAAACATGGTATACATACAGAGAGAAAGCTTGGGACTATCTGTGGTTTCAGGCAATCCTGGGGGACCTGGAACATATTCCCCATGGATAAGGGTGGACTACTATAGTTTTCTAAATACAGGAGCCTATTTATTACAGGAGTTGTGTGACAGTGTTTATTTTTTGTTTTAAAGTGTATTTGTTGACTTCCTAAAATAATACCAGGTGTATTCTATAAAAAAATCACATTTTGTCACTGTTAGCTTCCATAAATTGCCCTCAACTTCATACCAAATATTAATTTCTGTTCTTGAATTAGAACTTAGGCATTTTAAACTAGGAAATTATTTATAAAGTTAAAAAAGAACAACCATTGTTATATCATCTAGTATTTCTAATAACTAACTTAAAAATTATTTTAGTATGGCACCCATAAGAACATAAACATGGGCATCATAATTAATCTGCAGCTTGGCCAAGAAACAAAAAGTGTACATGAAACTGATTGTGAAAATGAACACCTTCTATTAAAAGGCCATGCAGATAATAATATGTGGATTTAACCACTGAGGCACTGTAGGAAAAGCATATTGTCAGTAATAATCAGAAATATAAGTCATAGAAGTTTGTAACTAATGAAAACAACTCAGTTTCATGAGTGTAAATTGGATGAATAACCAAGGAAGTACTTTTAAAGGACAGTGTGTGAGGATTTGTTAAGAGAAATGAGACTGAAGTCATTTAAGAGTCACCGTTTTAGCTTTGAAGTAGACAGAAGTGCGTTCTACCACCTACCAGTATGTGATGATGTCTTATTGGCTTAATTTCTCAGAGACTCTATTGACTTATCTGGAAAATGAGAATAACAAAACTTTTCTCATAGCTTTGCTATGAAGAGTAAATGAGATAATGCACGGCAAGAGCCTGGCAGAAAACTAGGTGCACAATAGCACTCAAGGAATATCACTGTTGTTCTTCATACTGCACTGGCAATGGTTTGACTCAGAAAAGAGGCAAACTGTGTGTTATCTACATGTGTCCTGAGTTATTCAGATTAATTTCCTACAAGTAGAATTCTAACTGCATAAAAGTCACATGGAAATTTTACTAAACTGCTGTGCTCTTGACCCAAAAATCTTGGATTCTGAATCAGTATGTAGGTCATGGGGACCATGAAGCTGCCTTTCAAACAACTACTTCGAGTAATTTCTAGGTACACTTTTTAAGGCACTCGTGGTTTCATCTCAAATAAGCAGATGTCTCCCAACTGCCTTCTTCACATTACCAGGATAGTTAAAAATGAGCACTAGTTATGTTTTCAGGACCAAGAAGCAGGAGAAAAAGGCACAGAAATAGTATTTGTATGACAGATAAAGTTAGGCAGATATGCTCTATGGATGGAAAACATGCTGAAAGATTTAGCAGAAACGCCACAGGACTTTAAAAAATGTGTCCATGGTCCTTTTGGGGGATATGATGGGATTATTTTCTGCTCCTTACCAGGATCCTGCTTCAGAGCAAAAGTCCTTCAGGAACGGACTGGCTTGGTTCATCAAGCGACAGACATCTGTGCAGATTCCAATACCCCTACAGAATATAAGGCAAAAAGTGTTATTGAATTTATGTTGATGGTGTAACCCCAGTGGACGTAGAAAATCCAGCCGAATCCAAAGATCAGTGCCCTGTGAAAATTCAAACACAACTGGGATTCTGTAAGAATGTATAGAAGAAGGAAAGCTTGAGACCAATGCACCCTGCTACTGACCATTTGTGAGTAACACAGGAGGTTTGGAGCATCTGAGCAAGAAATGAGGAGCAGTACAAAAGGAAGACTCCAGTGGAGTGTGCATGTGTGTCTGTGTGCCAGAGAAATGCTCCACGTCACCATGTGCCTGCCTCCTTTGAGGATGCATGTGTTCATACTACCCAGGACTCTCATCTAATCCCCACAGGTGCAGGCATTATTATTCCAATTTTAGAGAAGGAAAACAAAACTCAAGAAAGTAACCTGCCTAAGGTCGCCTAACTAGAAAGCGCCAGAAATGGAACTGGGACCTAATCTGTATAAAGACAAGATTGTGCTAATTCAAAACATGCCACTTTATCTTAGAAGCGAAAATACACAAGGAAACAAACAAAAAACCCTTTCTCTTCTCATGCCCATTAAGATAAGAGTGTGGACAGTGGATAAAACAAAATGGCACAAGCCTAGAAAGGAAATATACCAGTTCTCAACCTGAAACCATGGTAGTAATAACCAAATTCACTTCCTTTCTTCCTCCTTCCGGTCTTCTTTCATTCCTTCCACAAACTATCCAATCGGTAACCACTATATGTCAGTTACTAGGCTATAAACTGCATAGACATAGAGAATGGTGTTTCTCTGACTTCCTGCTTCATACTCTCCTGGACTCACTGTATTCCAGACATACTGGCTTTCTTACTTATCCTCAAACACATCATTTAGTTGTTGATCACTTTTCCATGTGCTAGACACCCCTTTTATACTCAATCTTATTTCATTCTCAGACTAACCTTATTTTGCTATAATTTCACTCAACATCACAAAGAAAGTATTTGGTACATCAAGGATTCTTGTCTTTTCTGGGAACAATCCAGACAAATATGGCAGGGGAAAAGGAGGGGAGCTATGCCTACAAACTTTGTAAAACAAAATTGGAGCCAGCCATGGTTATCTGCAATCCCATAACTCCTAAGTAGTGATGCCCTAAGGTCTCTTTTAGCCTTCAGCACAAATAAGCTTTGACTCCTGCAGCACGCATTAAATTTATAATCATGGTTTACAAATATCTTCAGCCTGTAGCAAATTACTGCAACTATTTTCTGTTCCTAACCGAAGGCAATATATGATGAGTACTTAAACACATACACAGACATAGCTATATATTATTTGTAAAATAATGTATATACTCTTTATCCCCAAAGCAATCTGCAGTCAGTAGTGGCATGACGTGCTTTACTCTAGAGGACTAAAATTATACTATACTAAACTCTCCAAATGATTTGATAAATCTGGCAGAGGCAGCCCAAACGAATAGGTATTATTGTGTCATAAATGGTCCATTAGATTGATTCCGGTAAGCAGAGAGCTTTAAAAGGCATAAATTAGAGGAATGAATTGGACTTCCCTCATGGAGTAACTCAGTGGCATTGCCAATTCAGCATGAAAGAGCCCAAACACTGCTATTCTTGGGGATGATGGCCCCAATGACAAATTAAGTGTAAGTGCATATCAGGGAGGAGATGCAGTGCTCCTCTCTTAATGGTGTCATTTCTCTGAAGTTGCTGGAGGTGAACTGTGAAAGGACAGGCAGGGCAACTTCCCAAATATCAAGTCTCACATTGCTTTGTTGCTTAATTACATATGCATAAATGCCAAGTGGTCTATAGAACAGGAGCCTCTGACTTTTAATTGGGTGTTTTCCTGTATCACTGTCCCCTGCTGTTCCCTCTCATGTCTCTAAGCTGCTCTTTTACTGTCTATTTATAGGAGAGACATTCCCAGGCCTCACTGGGCTTTGCTCCCCTTTCCTGAAGCTAGTTTGCAATTATGGAACCACACAGGTCATCTCATTGCCATGCACTTATTTTCAAAGGAAACTTTGAAATGACTCCTTGATAGAACTTGTTAGAATCCAAAATAAATCCCCTTTTATTTGGGCATGGTAAATATAAAACTTCAAGGAAAACAAAATAATAAAAAAAAAAACCCACTGCAAAAAATCAATAGATCCTTATATATTCTTTTTATTAGTGACCTTGTCAAGATAAAATAACAACTTTCTTCTCTGACATTGAACACGCTATTTTATGGGCAGAACAAAATGGCCTTTATTTTCACCTTTTAGGGGCTTGAGGGCACATAGTTCATAGAGGAGAGAAGAAATGCACTATATTCCAGGCAGAAGGCTCATCCTCCCTTGCTGCAAGGCAGGCATTTGCCTTTGTGCTTTCAGCCCAGAACTACGATTAGTGACTGCTGTGTTCCTTTCATGATGGACACTGCTTTCCCACCAGGTAAACTTATGTGGAAATTACCTTGAATGAGTGAATACTTATTGAGCACCTACTACATTTTAATTGTGCTGCTAAGCATTTCATATGTATTATCTTTATTATATTTTTCATTACCTCACATTTTTCTATATTTGTTTGTGATCTGCCCCTTTAAAACAGACTATAGGTTCTAATGGGTCAAAGGTTTTGTCTAGTTTGTTTATGGTTGTATTACCAGCCCAATGAGCAATGTGTAGTCAGAGTATGCAAACAAGAAATATTTATTGAATAACTGAGTAAATTAATCTGTGTGAAAAGCAAAAGCATTGTTCTGTGGTCTGAATGTTTGTCCTCTCCCCTAAAACTCATATGTTGAAATCCTAAACTTGAAGGTGATGGTATGGAGTTGGGGGTGGCCCTTCAGAAATGATTAGATCATGAAGGCTCCTTCATGATTGAGATTAACACTCTTATAAATTGCAGAGATTTAGCTAGGTCCTTCCCACCATATGAGGATCCAGATAGAAGGAGCCATCTATGAACCAGGAAATGTGCCCTTACCAGACAGTGAATCTTCTGGTACCTTCATTTTGGGACTTCCCAGATTCCAGAACTGTGAGAAATAAATGTTTGCTATTTATAAGCCACCTAGTTTTTGGTATTGTTATAGCAGCCTGAATGGACCAAGACACACTGCAAAGGTGTGTTTTACTTAACTTACTTACATAACTTACTCCAGGCCATACAGACAGTGAGATTCAGGATTTGAACTGATGCTATCTAACTTAGAATCCATGCCCCATTTTACTTTCTAATGATACCTGTGGTATTGGCTTCTGCTTTACTGATATGATTGTCATGTGGAATAGAGCAGTCAGAGGAATTCTACCTCTCATATTTCTATAAATACAGTTTTGAACAACAAGTTCTGTTAGTCTAGAAAGCAAAACATGCCACTCTAGGATTCTGCTCAGTCATACTCCCAGTCGGGAAGTGTATGAGAAAACTGGTAGGGGATACTGGAAGGGAAGAGAAAATAGAGGGCAGGAGAGACAGGGAGGTGTAAGGGGAAAGAGAAGAGAGAAGTAAAAGGTGAAGGAAAAAGAGAGTAAGTATAATACCAGAGCAGGAAAAAAAAAGCATATTTTGGTTTTGAGGATTCATCTCTCTCCTGAGAAATCTGAACCTCTCCTCTGTGTCATTTAGTCTCTGTATACGGTTGAGTGGTGCAGATTGTTGTGAATCTATTAGCAGTGATTTGCAGCAGACCAATTTAGAGGTCACTTAGGCATGAAAACACTGAGCAAGAAATTGTATACCTAATGAAACAATATCAGTAATAGCATATTTAAATGAACAGTATCAGTAATAGCATATTCTAAATGTTTCATTAAGTCTGAATTGTTAGAATCAGAGCACTGCTGCTTAATAGATTTTACCTTCTTTAACAAGTGTTTCCATATTGATCATATTGTGTTCTCTTGATTGAAGTTAGAAACCTCTCAAAAGTTACAATATTTTTATAATCATATGGTTTTCACAGTAATATTGTATTTGAGTATCTTTTTTCATTTATACTCATATTTAATACAAAAGCAAGTTCATAAAAAACACTACATGTGCCTGTGCAATGAATGTGCATAATAAAATTTCAGACATTTACATATTTAAACTAAAGTACCTTTAAAATAAGGTTGTCAGTTTAATCTAGTTTTATATTCCTAAGAACATGTTATGAGAAAAGTAATGCTATCAACCAATAATAGGTTCACTTTCATTTCAAGATCATCAGGTAAAAATATTAGATCTTCAGAGACCATAATACGAATGCTTTTATATTCTTGAAAACATGTCTCACATTTTTATGAACTACATTCAAGCTGTCTTTCTGGGTTATTCTTGTGTTTATACAAAAAGAAGAGGAAACATTTGAGACAAGTTTCTAAAAAAAAAAAAAAAAAGGCAATCAGTGCTAAAAAGCATTTTGTGCTGTCCATGTAGGGCATTGTATGTTTTCCTAAAAATAATTTCATCACAGCTCCACACCTATGTTCCCCGAGCACAACAATCTATCTTATACTCCCTAGTACAAATGTTGGCCAAGAAGGCAAACAGTCCTTGGTGACTGACATCAGTCTACAACTGTGGCAGTTGCTTTAGTTTCATGGCAATTGATCTCATTTAATGCTTACAAAACTACTGCAAGGAAGGTGTGCATTTCACAGAAGAAGAGAAATACCAAGGCAAAAACTGTGGAAGTGGTAGAATTCAAATCCAGGTCTCTGACTTCACAGCTTCTGTGTTCTTTGTAATGTCATGCTACAAATGGCCTTCCCAGCAGATTCCCTGTGGCATTCTGCCTGCCCTCTGCTTGTTGCAGAGTGAAATTCTGGGTCTGTGCTGGAGATTATCCAAATAAGCTAGGCCACTGAATTATTTAAATGATTTTATTAAGAAGTGCATCTTTTAGAAGGCAGTTTGATGTCCTGAATACCATGAACAACATTTTAGTGAATCACAGGTGGATTTTTCCTTTAATTACATTAAAGTAATCAACAGAAGACCTTCTT